TTTTTTTTTTTTTTTTTTTTTTTTTAAAGTGTTTCCATGACCCAACAAGGAAGTCCTTATGTAATAATGTTCTTCCAATCTATATATATAATTCGCCAGCAAAGAACAAACACCACCACGCAGGCTATATATTACAGATACGCCAGAGTGTGGTTAAATAATTAGTTTACCAGCGCGCAAAATATAATTCCGATAACTACGCTAAATGATTTATATATTTTTTTAATAACGCAATTGCGTTTGGTGCGTAATATTTTCTTTTCGGAAATGAAATCGTCTCAATTTAAGTATTTTGTACAAAATATTCGGTTTAAGAGTGGTTGGGACATGAGAATATTACCCAATTTGGACAACTGTGTCTTTCACGAAGTCTTCACTTATCTATGAGCAATTCTATGACGCGACGTGGTAGCTATTATTAGGAAACTGTGCAATCTTTGCACGTCACACATTTATTCAAACTTTGGTGGAAATCTCTCACACAAAGCGCATCGTGTCACTAAGCCTCAAGGTCGCCCAAGGATCTTTTTTAAAAAGTCTAGAATGATCCTTGAATTTGGAGGTTGGAGAAAAGTGGGGAAAGGGGGGGGGGGTAAACAAGATAGGTTAAGTCAAAAAGACACGCAGATGGTAAAACAAAGGAAAAGAAGGTCCAAACATCGACAACAATGTTGAAATCCCAGTTAGGCTTGGATAATCAGCAACCATTAATCTGATGTCAGTCATTGTCATTTTTCAGCAACACGCTGATCTTTAGATCGAAAGTAAGCGTCACCACTGTGCAAAAAAAAAACAACAAACAAACAAACTGGCATATCGTCTTCGAAATCACGCTTATCTTGACCATCTAAACTAATTCAGATGAGACTTCAAATAGAGACCGACCGAAAGTGATTTTCTGATTTCGACCGAAGCCGAAAATAGGCCGAAAGTTTAAAATGACTTTCGGCCGAAACCGAAAAAAGGCTGAAAGTTTTAAAATTACTTTCGGCCGAAACCGAAAAAAAGTCCGAAAGTTAAAAATGACTTTCGGTCGAAACTGAAGCCGAAACCGAAAATTAAATATTTAGATATTTTGAAATTCGTTCCCGCATACATTCTGCATACATCGAAAATGATGGGGGAAATTATAAATATTTACATTCTTTTCATAAAAAAATGAGATAATCGTGAATATTAATAAATAAGCATCTAAGATAGGGGTCTCAAACTCTCGGCCTGCGAGTCATTCGTTCATAAAGATCGTTTAGTTTGCTCTTAAAGATTAGACACTTGTAACTTATATAGTTTTTTTTAGTGAATTTTTTAGTAGTCGACCTGTGTTCAGGGTGTACCTCCCCCCTTAAGGATAAGCTGAAGGATATTTGACATTGCTTTCACTAAATACCATTCCCAATGACTGAACTAAATGATATTCTTAACAAAATATTGCAAGTACGTTTGGTGCGCATTAATTTCTTTTGTTTTTCTCTGTAATTTATAGTTGGTGAAATAAATCTACAGTGTAAAAGCAGATGGGGCATTATATTAATGTAGTTCAGAGGTGTGCCTGGGGTGGGGGCACACTAACTGGGATTCTTATAAAATGCGTTACTTGTATGCATGTTTTGTCAAATTGGCAGCCATTTCAGTGGATGGGCGGATGAGCTCAGAAAATCAAATTTTTTTTAGTTTTACGCCTAGGTAAAAGTTAAGACAAGTGACTTCAACCAGGATTTTGTAAGCATTCGATGTTTTCAAAAAGTAGATAATTATACTTTTGTCTAAACATATTTAAAGATTACAATTTTATTAATAAAAAGTAGCAAATAAGCAAAAAATGTTTTTTAAACTACAGTCAGAAAATACTTTCTATCAAAAATGAGTTAAGACGCACTAAAAATTAGAAAATAATTTACAAATTATTAACATGTATTTGATGTATCACCCAAAGAAAGCCTGTGCAGAAAATATTTTCAAAAAATTAAAATAAATAAAAAACTTTTGTCTACATTGAATTCCAATCCTTTAACTTTAACTACATATCATATAGACTATGTAGTGCTCATCTACACTTCCGCACAGTCTTTCTTAGCATAATGCATTTAAAGAAATTGTAAATTATTTTCTCAGCTTTGGCGGTAACAAAGTATGTACTGTTGCTGGTGTGGCTGCTAATATCAGGAAATATAACAAACATGATGTTAACACAGAGGCAATCCACAGATTGTCAGCCAAATTTTGAAATAAAGAAACAGACTATTTATTTAACACAAACTCCATGTTAAGATTATGATCAAGTCATTTATGAAATAAATACAACTAATACTGATGTTTGTATTGAATGCATATTACGATTTAAACAATGCAGAATTACACTTTTTCCTTTAAAACAAGCACCTGGGATATGCTTTTCATTTATTACCAGTACAAACATGTTTAAATCCATTTAACAAGGGTTGATAAATCTAAGTAGATTTGCTAAAACCTTTAAAAGTATCCAGTATATGATGACATTTTTCTCTAAAAAAATTCATGCCTCATGTAAGTTTTTTTCCTGGGTTCAGTAAAATCTTTCTCAACTGTTGCTATTCCATTTAGCCGTCAGTGCTACATTTTGGAAGCAATCATCTCTCTGAAATATCAAGAAACAGGCCAGTGGCCCTGAAAGCTAATACGACACAGGGCACAGTCATAGTTTAAAATTAGTAAGTAATGCTCCAGAACTGGCCATGTCTGAAGTACAACACAGAACCAATGAATAATAAACCACAAATAATTTACAATTGTCTCATGTTTGTATTGGAAAATATTTATTGTGAAAAATGGTCTATAAAAAAAAAAATGTAATGTCAACAATCGAAAAAAAATAGAAAACTGAACTACACAGAGATGGATTCATTTGATAAAACATGAGAGAAATGACTCTTCCCATCTTGTGCCTATACAAATATTAACAATAATAACTTTTAATAAGCTTTATTTAAATAAAATTTTTCCCGCCTGAATTTTGCATCATTACAAAACATGGGTAAAAACTTCCTTAAAATGTGTATGATAGAAAAAAAGTACATATAATAGAATTCACCAAGTCTAACATTGATAAGGAGCTAAAGCTCCCATCTTCATGGACTAATTTAAAAAAAAGAAAAACTAAATTACAACTTCCTGTTTACCAATCCCTGATTTCACCAAAACTGGGCTCTGATTATCTTAGTCTCAGCTATTGTGCACAAGAAAAAGTCAATCAAAATTGAAAAACAGAATCACTTTTTAGAACACATGGAAAGTGATGGACAAATAATATTTTCCTTTAAACTCTGAATAAGCAAGTACGAAATGCCAACAAAATGTTTCTATTTCATGTGTAACATGGTAAAAAAATATGAACTATAAAATTAGTTAATAACTGAAAAGACATCTTCCATTCAATGACAAATAAATTAATTTACTGATGCTTATTTTACCAAAGACTTGAGAAATAATTGCCATTTTTAAAAACCATTCAGAAGGTCTAAGGAATTTCCAGCGATCATTTGAGCAATAAATTAAGGTATGTCAACCTAACTAGGAGCTTCTTAAAATAGCATGACAACAGTTGAGATTCCTCAGATGAAAAAAAAACACCTAAGAATAAGAAATAAAGCTGCTCAGCTCATAATCTAGCAAAACAGAATTGGATCTATTGGATGCATGAATAAACTTACAAAGTATGAACTTAACTGCTCTTTTAATAAATTGTGTCTTAATAAGAAAATTAAACATGTATTTACGCGGTGATGCCAATGACACCACAAGCAAGACGAGGACCAGCATTTCCCGTCTTCAAACTTTCATCATTACCACCTTTGCCAAGGTCATCTTCCTTTTCATGCACCTAAAAAAAAAAAATAACAAAACATGAAGTGAGGATTAAAATATGAACAATTAGTACGGTAACATAATATAGGCATTATTCAGAGAAGGATAACTTGCCAACAACATATTTATATATTTTATTAAAAATGCAAAGGATTAGTATTTTGGCAATGACTTAAATTTATGAAAATGTATATGTTGAATAGTTTTACTAATGTCTCTTCTTATAAAGAATAATTGATGGTTAATTTTTTTCTTGGTTTTTCTTGCAATGGAATACTTATTCTCAATGAAAGTCATTGTTACCTGCTGTTGTAAATACTTACCACTATACTGCGACCAATGATTGAGTTTTCTCCTATGAGAGGAATATGCGAGTCTTTAAATTCAATACTTGCTGTGCCATCATCCCCTGCTATTATATTTCCCAAATCCCCTGCATGTCTGAAACATTTTAAACAAATAATTATATTGGTATTCAAAATGAACTGTGACCAATGATTGAGTTTTCTCCTATGAGAGGAATATGCAAGTCTTTAAATTCAATACTTGCTACTTGCTGTGCCATCATCCCCTGCTATTATATTTCCCAAATCCCCTGCCTGTCTGAAACATTTTAAACAAATAATTATATTGGTATTCAAAATGAACCTTGCAGTTTGCACTATGGCAAGAGGTTTTTTTGTGGTTTTTTTTGGGGGCCGCGACAACTCATAGAGAAAATATACCACTATATATGTGTGTTCAGAAGCAACTAAACTAAAAAGTACAGATGTAGTTCTATAATATTATATGATATAACTTCGCAGGCTGTAAAACATAATCAAATGTTAAATGATTTCAAAATTCAACTTGTGTTTTTTAGATGATCAAATCATTTAACAGATATAAAAAACTATATTATATTCAGAAAGGCCAGCCAATTTAATATAGAAATGTTTTAAATTTGTGAACACCCCATTTATGTTCAAAAGGCTTGTAACTAAGTCACCAGCGTCAGCTAAAACATGCAAATCGAACCCAGCACATTAAACTCTGATGGGTCAAACCAGTATTCAATTATTAATTTTATCTACGATCTTTGATCTACTGAAATGTAGTGCTTTTTCGTTTCGTTAAGGAATCTTTTTGAAACGCCTTTTTATTTCATCGAAGTGGCTATTAGGAATCTTTTTGAAACGCCTTTTTATTTCATCGAAGTGGCTATTCCCACCCGGGTACCAGAAGTGAGAGGTTGGGATTAAAAAACTATTTAAAATATTTCTGTTTGGTTTTTCAGACAAAATGAGGTACCGTATCAATTGAAAGATAATTAAATGGAATAATATATGTTTGTAAACTTACTTCTTAAATTTAACTAAAAAAACTACCACAAATGACATCCGAATGGGATTTAGTCTAAAGGGACCCGGGTCCAAATAGCGGCTATGCGTACCCATATTTTTTATTATAAGTTAAATGTTTAAGATTTTTTAAAAATGAAAAAAAATTGAATTTTTGTCTTCCTTTTGAAAATCTGTCTTATTGTGCTTTTGCGCACTTTTATATGAATAAATTTATTTTTACATCTTTGTGACAACCCTGAAAACAATTTTGAGTTTGTATAACTGGCTGTGTATGCAAGAGATTTGAAAATTCCAACTTAGTATTTTTAGAAATTACACTTAATTTGATGCTGCTCTAGAGTTTTGTAAAAATTCATAACTTTCTTAAAATTGAAGATAGAGAATTAAAATTTGGCAACTCTGATCTGATAAATCCAATCTTTCTTTGGGAGAATTATTGAATTTTATTGAATTTCTTTGTAAAATGTTCATGTGCTATACCTATTTATGTAGAGTCGGCAATGAAATACAAGTTTAAAAATCTCTATCCAAATGTATCTGTCTTTCAATAGAAGTATACATAAATCAGATAGTACAGAAAAGCATTTTTAGTTAAACTAATTTCATTCAAATTACCTTTCTTGATCTAATGGCCCACCGTGAGACTTGTTTTTTGGGTTAAAATGGGCTCCAGCACTTACACATCCTGTCGGTCAGAACAAAAAAATCTCAAAATCATATCTGCAATATGTATTTAATAGTCACATCTGAATTGTGATGAAAAATATAAATTAGATTAATTTTTTTTTAATTTAATTTCATTACTTTTTGTTTTGTATGAGAAAATTGTATTGCTATTTAGTTTTAAATTAGAGCATTATTCAAAGAAAGAAGACTAATTGTGATGCTAAGCGAAACACTGAGTACTTACAGAGGATTTATATTTTCAATGCAGTTAACTACAAAAGAATTTAGACTTGCTTAAAAAAAGAAATGAGGAACAAAAAAACTACAAGTTACTTTAGCATTGCATTATACAACTTATATTACTTACCATTAGTATAGTCACCAAATTGGTGAATATGGAAACCATGTTTGCCTGGAGCAAGGCCTTTCACCTGTCCGGAAACTAATGTACAATCACCAGAAGTCTAGAAAAAAATAAATGTTACAATTTTAATAGAATTTGTAGTCTGTATATGAATGTCACTTCTTTTCAAGCATTATAATATAGAATATAGCCCAATGTATTTCTAATATCCCTAATAAAGTCTAATACCGGTACTAAGAAATCAAAATCTCGTTTTCTTTTGGCAAACAACATATTTCCTTAGCTTAATTTTATTTCTCTAAGGCATTTTAGAGCATGTGAAAACTCAAAATAGAAAATTAGAGCTATGGCCATGGTCTGCCATTGACATCCTCAGATGATTTGAACCTGAGCCTATTGTTATAAGTTATAGCATTTAACAGTTACCACATAAGTTCAGCTTCAGTTTATCAGTAAAGAATGGCATACCTAAATACATTCAGTTATAATGATAGTTTTTTTGTAACATCAATGGCAGGCTGCACGTGATATTATTTTCCCTTATTTTTGTATCTGGTTTTAGTGATTTTTGGCAGAGACAAAAGTATGTACCTGGTTAGCTTTGGTTGCAATATTAAAAATAAAATATATTCTATGTTAAATTTAATTCTTTATCAAAACCAAATCTAGAATCGACATGTTTGTTAGGCTTTATTAATATTAATAAAAATATTGACTTTATCCCATGCAATGTATAGCCATGCCTAATTAACAACTTGAGAATGAAGACTGAAAATGTCAGTAATATACCAATTCAGCATCTGCTATTAAAAAATCATGCTTTTTTAAATACCACCATGGACACTGGAGAGAGGGCCAGTGGATTTTCGATGGCACTTACAGAGTGTGAATGCTGTTTTCTTGTTAAAGTGCCACATCAGTATGTGATCACTTTAAAGAAGTGCATAGAGATATAATCTACTAGGTTCACATATTCAGGTAAGTGGCCAGCTTATGAAAGCATAATTCAAACCAGGCACAGAATCTACAAATATTCTGTTGTGGTCCATCAACGAAACATTGTTGATCCAAATGTCGCTGTCACTGGATTCCACACACAGAATGTAGATATATGTGGATTCTTGTGGCAGATCCCGAGAATAAAGATGAACCGTATTATTTTATGAAGTGTTTTGCAGAGTGTGGCAGTGTTATAGAGCCCCTAGATAAATTTTGCCAGAAATACTCGAGTCTTGACTTGATACCTTGATCACGTCACTTATTCTCTAAATGGTTACCATGTGTTAGTGTTTAACTGATAAAAATAATGATGGTAATACTAATAACAAGGCCTATTCATTATAATTATAGAAAAATCACAATTAATAAGCTTAGGCCTTTCATGGTCCAATGATGTAAGGAAAAAAAATGTCTGGCCCTTATAAATGTTTTTACAGAAATAGCTATTATTGAACACTTAGAAAAGCCTGGTCTAAATCTAATAATATTAGTATTACCATTTTAATTATTATTTTTGGTTATTTCAGGTTAGTGGTAAGGCCGGCGATGTGTTCCATGGTATATAGGTCAGGGGGGGACGACCCCAAAGGCCAACTTCCATCTACAGCGGCGTACTAAAAATATTTAGATGTTCATTTTCACATAATAATTTAAGTTTTTGTTTTCTATTTGAAATTGGGGGACGGGTTTTGCCTGGAGCAAGGCCTTTCACTTGTCCGAGACCCCTCCTCCCCCAGACCCTAGAAGATCATTACAAATGCAATTTAAGCAGTAGTCTTCCTTTTGTTACCGAAGTTTTAACATTTGGGTTTTTTGTTTTTCAACTAATCAAAATACAGCACCTTTGGCACATGTTGGGTCTTGGCGTATCGGCAAGGAAGTGTTTCTTTTCTTTTGAAACGTGTAAGTTGAATTTTAATACACATTAATGGAAAATTTCATTTTAATAATATTAATATACTTCACAATTATATTAACTAACCATATCGTTAATGATGTGAGTAATGCTAGGTAAAGAACAGGGAATCACACACATCGTTCGGATCCTACAATTAATAGATCAATAGGTCTATTCACCCTTAGTCCAAGTCCAGGGCCAGTGTTGGGATTCCCCAAGCCAAAGTTATATCACTGAAACTGAATCACTGCGCTTAGGGTGAAACAACTCTTGGCAAAACCCATACCCATTAACCCAAAATTTACCTTATTTTTTGCATTTAAATTTAAATAGTCCAAAAGCTTCTTCAAGATCAACTTAGACTTCAAGTAATGGATGGAGTGTTCGCTATGCTGCTACTGCTATGCCTGCTTAGGCTTAGCACTTAACTAAGAATATAAAGTCAAATATGACTAATATTTAGTAATATTAGTAATAATTTCACTTTTCTTTTTAAAGCGATTCAATAACAAGATAAGAAGAGTAGGCATCCTGGGCCTACTTTAGACTTAGTTTTACTTAAATTTAAGACTAAGTTAAGACAAGACTGAGCAAGTAGTAGACTTAGTCGTCTTAGTAGTAGTAGTAGTACTCGGTAGTAGTGTAACTGTGTATGGCGTAGGCATAAATAATTATTATTTAAACCTCTTGAGTAAATGTGATTGTTCCCGTGATTCCTGTAGCTGATCCTGGACTCAAAACACACACCGCCTTGACCATCTTCAATCTTTAAGTGTGTTCTTTACAGTTGGTGTTCGTCTAAAATAATGTAGACACTTAGTATGATAAGGCAGTTTTGTTAAAGGTCAAGGGTGGACAAATTCTAGAATTCGATTTCGTGTACTTTTAGTTACAGAAATGAAACAATACATATTAAATATTTATTTTTTTAAAAATAGATATTACATAAATTGTCCACCTACTGAAAATTTCATAGAAATAATTTCTAATTGGAATCTTTCAAATAAAAAATGAAATTATCACTTTAAAGTTAAAGAAAGAGATCAATTGTGACAACTCCCCTATTGCTATTATTATATTAGCCCTGCCCTGGCCATTCAATTCATTCATCTTCATTGATTAATAAATCAGATTCAGATGATTGATTGAAATGATTGTCATAATTTAATTTATATAAATGTCAGGAACATTTATAAAATTAGAGTTTTATAAATAAATAGAGAATGGTAAATGAGAATCGAAATTACGAATTGTTAAATAATTTAAACTCGTTAAAAAGTTTAACATTATTGGAATCACCACACAAGACACAAAAAACGCGATGTATACTCATTACGCCTACATATTATAAGTCAATATGTAGGCCTAATTTATAGCATTTTTACTAAATATTTTGTCTCCTGCTTTTTCCTGGGTCCCTCAGGATTTATAAAAGGGTATATATATTTTTAATGGTTCTAATATCTGACATCTCTACTAACATCAATTAATGCAAGCAGTATAATATTTGCGCTCCCGTAACACATTCATTTTTACTGAATTACTGTATAAGCCATAGGCTGTTAATAATAATAATAATGTGCCGAAAAAACTGTCAATAATCCGGTCAATTCTTGCTTATTAAAGGCGTAACTAGTAGTTGTGCCACCTCTATTTATTTATTTTTTTTGCAACCCCCCCCCCCCTTGAAAAAAGCAGTCAACTGTACAATGCATGCTCCATATCAAACATATTTTGACAACTGGCACATCAAGGGGGGAGAGTGATGAGAACGGTGAAACTCGGAAAAAAGGGGGGGGGGGGGGTAAATGCGGTACATCTTCAGGGTCCTCCTCATTGTGGAAGAGCGGGCATTTTCATTTTCACCCCTACTCCTTTGATAAATTTCAAAACCGCCCATGACTAAAACAATTAGTAAACACATATTGTTTTTCCTAACCAAGTGAGTTATGACGAAAATGGCACCTAAACTTTAATATAATTATGATCAAAATCAATGGTAGGTTTACTGTTTGCGCTTTAAAAAAAAAAAAAAAAAAAAAAAA